CATGATACTAAACATAGAGAATCCTAAAGATACCACCAGAAAACTACTAGAGCTAATCAGTGAATTTGGTAAAGTAGCAGGATACAAAATTAATGCACAGAAATCTCTTGCATTCCTATACACTAATGAAAAATCTGAAAGAGAAATTAACGAAACACTCCTGTTTACCACTGCAACAAAAAGAATAAAATACCTAGGAATAAACCTACCTAAGGAGACAAAAGACTTGTATGCAGAAAACTGTAAGACAATGAAGAAAGAAATTAAAGATGATACAAACAGATGGAGAGATATATCATGTTTTTGGATTGGAAGAATCAACATTGAGGAAATGACTATACTACCCAAAGCAATCTACAGATTCAATGCAATCCCTATCAAACTACCAAAGGCATTTTTCACAGAACTAGAACAAAAAAGTTCACAATCTGTATCAACACACAAAAGACCCCAAATAGCCAAAGCAATCTTGAGAAAGAAAAACGGAGCTGAAGGAATCAGGCTCCCTGATTTCCAACTGTACTACAAAGCTACAATAAACAAGACAGTATGGTACTGGCACAAAAACAGACATATGGATCAATGGAACAGGATAGAAAGCCCAGAGACAAACCCATGCACATATGGTAACATTATCTTTGATAAAAGAGGCAAGAATATACAGTGGAGAGAAGATAGCCTCTTCAATAAGTGGTGCTCGGAAATCTGGACAGCTACACGTAAAAGAATGTAATTAGAACACTGCCTAACACCATATACAAAAATAAGCTCAAAATGGATTAAAGACCTAAATGTAAGGCCAGACACTATAAAAATCCTGGAGGAAAACACAGGCAGAACACTCTACGACATAAATCACAGCAAGATTCTTTCTGACCCACCCCCCAGAGAAATGCAAATAAAATCAAAAATAAACAAATGAAACTTAAAAGCTTTTGCACAGCAAAGGAAACCATAAACAAGACAAAACACAACCCTTAGAAATGGGAGAAATTATTTGCAAACGAAGCAACTGACAAAGGATTAATCTCCAAAATATACAAGCAGCTCATGCAGCTCAATATCAAAAACCCAAACAACCCAGTCCAAAAAGGCAGAAGACCTAAATAGACATTTCTCTAAAGAAGATATACAGATTGCCAACAAACACATGAAAGGATCCTCAACATCGCTAATCATTAGAGAAAGCAAATCAAACTACAATGAGGTATCACCTCACACTGGTCATAATGGCCACCATCAAAAAATCTACAAACAATAAATGCTGGAGAGGGTGTGGAGAAAAGGCAACCCTCCTGCACTGTTGGTGAGAATGTAAATTGATACAGCCACTATGGAGAACAGTATGGAAGTTCCTTAAAAAACTAAAAATAGGACTACCATATGACCCAGCAATCCCACTACGGGGCATATACCCTGAGAAAACCATAATTCGAAAATAGTCATGTACCAAAATGTTCATTGCAGCACTATTTACAATAGCCAGGACATGGAAGCATCCTAGGTGTCCATCAACAGATGAATGGATAAAGAAGATGTGGCACATACATACAATGGAATGTTACTCAGCCATAAAATGAAACGAAACTGAGTTATTTGTAGGTGAGGTGGATGGATCCAGAGTCTGTCATACACAGTGAAGTAAGTCAGAAAGAGAAAAACAAATACTGTATGCTAACACATGTATATGGAATCTTAAAAAAAAAAAAAAAAGTAAAGGATGGTTGTGAAGGGCCTAGGGGCAGGACAGGAATGGGGATGCAGATGTAGAAAATGGACTTGGGGACACGGGGAGGGGGAAGGGTAAGCTGTGACAAAGTGAGAGATTGGCATGGACATATATACACTATCAAATGTAAAACTGATAGCTAGTGGGAGGCAGCCGCATAGCACAGGCAGATCAGCTCGGTGCTTTGTGACCAACTAACTGGAGGGGTGGAATAGGGAGGGTGGGAGGGAGACGCAAGAGGGAGGGGATATGGGGATATATGTATACTTAGCTGATTCACAACCCAACAACCCATTCAAAAATGGGCAGAAGACCTAAATAGACATTTCTCTAAAGAAGATATACAGATTGCCAACAAACACATGAAAGGATCCTCAACATCGCTAATCATTAGAGAAAGCAAATCAAACTACAATGAGGTATCACCTCACACTGGTCATAATGGCCACCATCAAAAAATCTACAAACAATAAATGCTGGAGAGGGTGTGGAGAAAAGGCAACCCTCCTGCACTGTTGGTGAGAATGTAAATTGATACAGCCACTATGGAGAACAGTATGGAAGTTCCTTAAAAAACTAAAAATAGGACTACCATATGACCCAGCAATCCCACTACGGGGCATATACCCTGAGAAAACCATAATTCGAAAATAGTCATGTACCAAAATGTTCATTGCAGCACTATTTACAATAGCCAGGACATGGAAGCATCCTAGGTGTCCATCAACAGATGAATGGATAAAGAAGATGTGGCACATACATACAATGGAATGTTACTCAGCCATAAAATGAAACGAAACTGAGTTATTTGTAGGTGAGGTGGATGGATCCAGAGTCTGTCATACACAGTGAAGTAAGTCAGAAAGAGAAAAACAAATACTGTATGCTAACACATGTATATGGAATCTTAAAAAAAAAAAAAAAAGTAAAGGATGGTTGTGAAGGGCCTAGGGGCAGGACAGGAATGGGGATGCAGATGTAGAAAATGGACTTGGGGACACGGGGAGGGGGAAGGGTAAGCTGTGACAAAGTGAGAGATTGGCATGGACATATATACACTATCAAATGTAAAACTGATAGCTAGTGGGAGGCAGCCGCATAGCACAGGCAGATCAGCTCGGTGCTTTGTGACCAACTAACTGGAGGGGTGGAATAGGGAGGGTGGGAGGGAGACGCAAGAGGGAGGGGATATGGGGATATATGTATACTTACAGCTGATTCACTTTGTTATACAGCAGAAACTAACACAGCATTGTAAAGCAATTATACTCCAATAAAGATGTTAAAAAAAAAAAAGAAGTGATGCAACAACATGTGTACCATTTAAAAAAAAAAAAGTCAACAGCCATGATAGGTGATGTGGGGAAAATCATTAAGAGCAATAGTCCCTGAGAGCACTTTTAAATTTAGGATAAAAGGCTCAGAGATTCCACATGGTTCCTCATCATGTTGAATAACATGAAATGACAGTTGAGTATTTTAACTCTATTTTTTGTGTATCACTCCATTAAAAACAAAAGGCTTTAGCTATGGAAGACTTTTAGGAACAAAAGATTTGTAAAGAAAAACATATGCTTTTTTGTCTTTTATTTTAAATGGGGAAAATCTAACTTAAAATCTGTAGACTCATTCTTCTGTAAAGAAAATCCAACGATTTACATATTTATAATAAAAATGCATTCAATACATGCAGATTCTATTATACATATTCCATTCAATGTACATAACACTCCATACAACTACACAGACCAATCCGAAAGCATTCTAGACAGATTTTTTTATCTGGTCAGGCAGAAGCAAGTATGTATAAATTATATCCTTTGGGGAAAGAATTTTATTTACCAAAATAATAAGCATGCAAGTGATAAAATGAAGTCTCCCTAGAAGCTCAGGAAAAGGAGAAACATGAATGATGAAGTGAGAGATATGAAAATCACAGCACCCCAATTTTGGAAATTTCTGAAGCACTAGGAAAAAGAGGAAATTTGTCAGCTCAACCTCAGTGCAGGTTGAAATGAATGAAATTCTGTCATAGCCTGAATTGCCACTGTTAGAGAGAATGGGAGAAAAGCTTTCTGTGGCTTGGGTTTTTATTATCGATGGGCAAATACCCAAATCATACAACAGCTCGTATTCATCTGTTAGCCAGCACTCTCATTTCACAGGCGGCAGTCCTGGCTTTATAACAAAGACCTTGTTTTGACAGAAAACGTGAGTGCAATGCTTCATCCCGCTAAGTCATCCAAAGTAGGACTGGGATATACAATGTATGAGAGTGAATTAAATATTCAATTTATCCATACTTCACTAGACTCTAAACAAAGAGAAATCCACCCACCAGAAAGAGCCTATTTTGCAAAGTTCAATATTTAGTTTCTCCAAAGTCTGCTGGAATGGCTGCAAAGTGCCAGGGCCCTGCTTTTCCTTAGGAACTCTAAACAAGAGACCTTTGAGCTTTTAGTCAGGGGACCAGAATGGGGAGGGATTATCTTTCCTGAAGTTTAAAATAGAAACAACCTAAATATTACCAACAGGTGGATGAATAAGCAAAGTGCAGCATATCCATATAATGAAATACTACCTAGCGATAAAAAGAAATGAGCTAAGGCTACACCCGACAAGATGAATCTCAGTAGCTAAACAAAGAGGCCAGACTCAAAAGACAATATACTGCATAATTCCATTCATATAAAATGCTTACAAAAAAAAAAGAGAACTAAAGTGGTGAAAAGCAGCTCAGTAGCTGCCAAGGGTCAAGGAAGGAGTGGAGACTGACTGCAAAGGGACACAAAGGAATTTTGGGGGGAGATAGAAGTCTTCTATGATTGTGGTGGTAGTTACACAACTCTACACATTTGTCAAAACTCATCAATTTGTACAGTTAAAATCAATGAATTTTACTCTAAGTAAATGATATCTTAATGATGCCAATTTTTAAACTGGAAGCCAACAAGACAATGGAAGATGGAAACATCTCACTAGTGCGTGAACAAGAAGCGATTAAGACTGGTTGTCCGACACTGCTGATTCTTCTACTGATTCTCATTTTAGCCCTGACTTTGTTTCAGTGCAAGGGAGAAACATGTAAATAAAAAGGAAAACCCCACCCTGGCAGAGTAAATGAACAACTGAATCTCTGATGCACAGAATATGCATTTTGCATTAATATATTTCATTCTACAAAACTTAACCATGCAGTAAGCATTTGAAATGACCCTAAGATTTTACATACCTATAGCCTCTCATGAATAAAATGATTCAATCATGTTACCTCGTGTTTCAACTGCACTGATGCATTTTCTAAGAATTGTGAATCCCATCTTATCCAACTGTGCACCTAAAAGAAACAGTCATAAAATATTAAAGGCACAATTAGTTACTCACAATCTCTTCCTTACAAAAATAGGAGAAAATTATTTAAATCCAATATAATTTTTATTTCACTCTTTAAAAAAAGAAAGCTAAAGGCCATGCATTCCCTGTTTAAATAATGTAAATGAGAATTTCATATACTAAGAGGAGCATTTACTGGAATTTCAAGACATTTATTACCAACATATATAAATAAACTTGTAATTTAAACTAGGTTTTAAGTTAATAAATATAGTATTTTAAATAGTGGAAAAGAAAGTGACACAAATCTTTAGGGGAAGCTGTCTAGAAATAGTTAGCATTTTGCCCAAATTCCAACAACAGCTCAGGTTTGTTTTTTAATTATATATATGAGTGAAAGTTCTTAAATTTCTTGACAAGCTGGAGAACACAAAACTTTTTCTTTTTTAACCTAGGGGGAAAATTTTTTTAAATACTTTTAAAAAATGGTATTTGAGCCATGAGCTTGAATTTTTTTTTCATATTTTATACCATGCCCTAAGCGTTTAATATTTTATTATTTTCATAATGAATTTAAAATAGATGATTCATGTAGCAAAAAAAGATTTTGAAAATATAATTTTATATTGTTTTCTAATATGGATACTTAACCATGATTAGGCTGACCTATTTGAATACCCTAATAAAAGGCAATTCTTGTTTCAAAAATGCAATCAGGGAAAGTGAATGCTTTCTGTATTTAGAACTCAGGAGCAGGAATACTAAATAACTCTGTTCTCAGAGGGGATAGCATGAACATAAACTTTGCAGATTTAAAACTAAGCTCGGACAGCATTTTAAGGAGGAAAATTGGGCAGTGGTCTACTTTTTTCAGGATCCACTATTCACAACAGTTATATAAAATGCAAGTGTTTCTTTCTGCTTAGCAAAACTACTTTTCCAAAACAAGGCATGTTTTCATTTTTCTATAAAAACAAGAAAAGAAAGGAAAAAGAGAAGGGAAGAGGGGAAAAGAGAAAGAGGGAAGAGAAAGAAAAGCAAAAGAAAGGACAAAGGGGAAGAAGAGGTACTTCGGTGACTGACGACCTTCCACAGCACCAGGTCAATTTCCAGTGGCAGGCTAAGTGATATGCACATCATGATCATTTCAAAATCATGGGTATTTAACAATGTTTCCAAACTGTGGACATCTGACAAATGTAGCTTCATTCCTCCAAAGATATTAAAAGTAGATTCATAAAGAACCCAACACATTTGATCACATTTTCACTTTATCTCAGTACAAATCAAGAGTACAGAGCTAGGGAGTACTTCCGTTTCCTCTAGTGCATACAATGCAAGTGAAAATTATTGTCCTAGAATACCTGAACGTGTTTGGTTGTTGTTTATTTTCTAAGGTGCAATGCTATACTATTGGCACAGCCCATGCTCAAGAGACTTTAAGGATAAAGGATATTAAGGGTGGAGGTGAGAAGGGTTGAGAACAGGGGACCTGGTAAACGGTTCCTGTCCACAGGAGTTTACAACTTAGGAAGCTGACAGATGCATAACTGAAACTCTTACGTATTCATTTGTGGCTATAAAAACAAATACCAAAGTGAATTACAGAGAAAGTTTTCTTCGGTTTTGTATAGGAAGACTGGAAAGAAAAACGCTCAGAGATGGGAAAGATCAAGGAGGGTTACAGTTGTCCAGGAAAATTTGAGGAGGTCCTCAATGAATAAGACATCTACTACATAGAGGACTGACATAGGGTACAGAGAGTAAGCACCCAGCAACAGTTTGACATCAGTAATAAAAACAAAATAACTCATGAGAAAGGGAGACAACAGTCATTTTTATAAATTAGCACTTACTTCCTTCTGGTCTTGGGACGATGGCTCTATTAAAACTAGGGAACAGCTAATAAAAGAGAAAAGGGGGAAACAATATTTTTAGCAAATCAATAAAAGTGATTCTAGTAGGTACACCTAGGGACTGTACAAAAAATACACTGACATTGGTTAATCACCTATCATGCAAAGATAGGTAACAAAAAAGAGCACCCTGGGTCTCCTTTGTCTCTCACTGAGATATTGCCAAAGTAGCAAAATTAAGATGAAGGGGCCAGGACTGAAAGTTCATGTAAATTTGAAATGCTCAAACGAATGGCTGCATTCTAATCAGTAAGCTCATTTTTTTCATCACTATTTCTAAAATCTGCTGTTTACTTAAGAAACACATGACTCCTGCCCACAATTTTAATAACCACATCTGAAATATCAAGGTGATGATCCCAGGCTGCCTCTGAGAATTCTAGCGCTGTCCCGTTATTTGCAAGGCACATACATCACCTGGAAAAAATACACAGTGCCTTAAGTGTCCCCTTGTAAACACATAGCTGAATATTTGTTTTCTTTCTACATACTTGCCTTTGTCTGTATATCTCGAATTAATTACTCGGCTTTTTCACTCTAAAGGAGAGCGTATATACGTCTTCAAGGTTACGCTGCCTTTGGCAATAGACTTCACGACTTAGTCACGGGCTCATTTTGCTATGCAAATAGGCAAACTCACTTTCCAAAGAACTTCTTGAATCTCCAGGGGGGACAAGTCACTGCCTTGCCCGTACTAGAGACGATTCGGATAACCTGTTTTGGATCTCAGCAACTGTCAATGCTGGAAGTACTCCTGACTCCCAGCTAAAATTTTCAAGGACAGATTAAGAGTAAATAGAAATAAAACCAAGGAGGCTAAATGCAGATCAAGTATAAGAAAATGATACACAATTCCAATCACTGCCTTTTTCCTCCAAGAATGATACCTTCTCCTATATAGGATTTATTTTTAAAAGATGTAATTTGGGCTTCCGTTTCTCAACCACCACATCAAGACTGCCACACGCAGTGCTGCCCAGCCTCTCTGCCTTATTTCCTGCACTCTCAGGGTGCTCCACTACCATCAGATAACAATATATTTTGCCCGTTTCATAAGCTCTATCCTGACACCTCTCTTTTAACTGTATATGACCCCTCTTCCACTTTGCAAATCATGCTCTTTCCTCTTTTTATTTTAAATCCTGCTGA